ACTTCTATGCATTTTCTTTTTAAATGGCAAATATGTAAGTAAATGAATATGCAAATCCATATTTCCCTGCAGGATATTGTTGCTAAGACAGACGTTAGATGTTCTGCATCCACTGAATGTCTCAACTCAAAGCAATGGCACGCTGGTAAATGTGGTCCTCAAGACCATCTTGCCAAAGTCGCAGCAGGTTCTGTCTTCTGAGGAAGTAGCTGAAGCTATAGAGACGAAGTTGCAAACGTGGCAGGAAGACGTCTGGATCAGCTGGACTGTAAGACTTTTTTTTTTTTTTTTATTAAAATTCTGTGTCTTTAGGTCTGGTAAATACAGTTTCAGTCCTTCAGAGCTAAAATGTTTAGATGTCTGTCCTAACACACCTGAATACAATGAGGTACTGTTAAGACATCTGAAAGTTGCAGGGAAATGCTCTGGTGTATGGTAGCTTTAAAAACTTTTTTTCTGTGTGTTTGGGTAGCTGGTGCACTGAAATGTCTTTTAAGTCTTTGCAGCTGTAGCCGATAGGATAGGTTAAACATAGCCCAAGTATTATTACCTCACAGAGGACCAGATTTGCATAGTTTTTTTGAATTAACCACAGTAGTTTGGGACACAGTGAATGCATATATTAGCTCTCTGTCCTGGGGTCTTTAACTCCAGTTCTCGATCTACTGCTCTGCAGTTTGGATGCTTTTCTACTCCAGCAAACCACGATCAAACGGATGGCTTGCTGCCAGGCTTTTATCAAACCTAATGACATAAGGAAATGATCAGTCATTTAAATCTGTGTTGAAGCAGGGATGTACCAAAAAGTACCAGGGCAGTGAATCTCCTGCACTGCAAAAACAATATAGAAATAAGTAAAAATTTCTTAAATCAAGCGTATTTACCCTTAATTTGAGTAGTTAAATAAGATGATTTGCCAATGGAATGAGTGTTTTTACTCTTAAAATAAGATAATTAGATAATATGCATTTGAAATAAGAATTTCAATTAGAATTGCAATTGTTTTTTTTTTCTTTAAATGTAAATTGTCTTGTTCCATTGGCAAAGTGTATCATTTACCTCCTCTATTCAAGGAAAAAAATTCACTTATTTTAAGAAAAAAATACATTAGATTTCAGTTATTTGCAGTTGGAGAACCCTTTCCTAGTTTAATGGTTCTGGTGGGGAAACTAAAGCTATAATCCAATCATCCACTGTTGCACCAGAGAAGATCCTAGCTATATTGGGTAGGACCTGTTTATATAAAGTGTTATTCAGATACACCTGCTGGTGCACAGAAATGTCAGAATGGAAGACATCACAAGTGTTTAATATTCACCTGTTGAGCACGGTGGCAGAAAGTGTATGGTTTGGGCTGATTTGTGGTCATGAGCTCCAAACCTGACCAATTAGTAACTCCTCATATTAAAGGATTCTCAGGACCAACATCAGACAGTTGGGGTAACGGCTCTAGCGTGGTCCAACCTGAAATGTTTATCATAATTCTTTTCTAATCCAGCTATCAAAGATGGGATAAACTTTTCTAAACTGCAAACAAAACAGCTGAGAAAGGATGCTAATTTAAATATGTTTGAAATGCAAATATCTAATCTGAATCTGTGTAATGAAAAGCTGTTAAGCATGGTTGCTTTGAGGATGCAGGCCAAGTTGGTTGATGCTGCAAACGGAGGAAAAAATTATATTAAGTATTTTCCAAAGACTGCAGATTATTTTAGCCTCGGATGCTTTGTGTCCATGTAATAAAAAAAGGCAAACAAAACCTATTTGTCTTTCCTTGTATTTTAACTTAAACTTATTCCACCTCACAAATTTAATGACTGTAATGACCTTTAAAAGGGATGTAAAATTTGTTTAGGAAACTAGGATTTCTAAGTCCTTTGAATTTGGTGTACAATAACCCTCATTATTGCCTGCAGGTTGGAGGTGAAGTATCTGAGGAGCTGAAGAGGTTAGTCCTGGTGCTAATGATGACTCTACCAGGATCACCTGCTTTCAAGTATAAGGAGATGGAGCAAACCTTGGTAAGATTTTGAGTCAAAGGATGTAAAACAGAATAATGCTAATGGAAAGAGGCGAATTCTTATGCCTCCAGCGCAAAGAGACTGTTTTTCCAGAATCCTTTGTAATATCCTGATTTTTCTGATGTTTTACCATGTGTCTCCTTCATTCCACCTTCAGGATGAGAAACACTCCGATGTTGCCCTTTTTTCTACACTCAGCCACTCCAAATCCAGAGAAGAAGCCCTCCTTTTTGGCAGCTTAAGCTTCCTCCCCTTTAATACAACCACCAACTTTTCCTCAAGCTCACTTTCCAACTCCTCTGATTCCTCCCCTCCCATCTTGGCCTTCTTGCGCTCCTCGGGTTGTGTGCAGTTTCTTGTTCTGCTCAATGTCTGGCCTGAGCCTCAATCCTTGGACCCGTCCTGGGCTGCCAGCCTGCCTGAAAAGGGGGTCTATGTGGCTAGCACAGGAATGAACCACATGGGGTCGACCTCTCTGTACTCTGTCAAACTGCTGCCTTACGAAGCTCTAGTCATCAAGCTGTTTAGACCAGGAGGATATTCGTAGCACTTTAGCAGTGTTGAGATAAAATGATCAGGAATGTCGTCATGGGCAAATGGAGGATTTTTAAACCTCTGGAACAAGTGCTGTGGTATCTGCGTCATGTTGAGTGTCTAGTTGTTTCTTCACCTCCTAAAGTTAATCTATTAATGACTTATTTATAAAAAAAGATTGAGGAAGTCAAAGAAGTAAATGTCATGTGAATATTTTTGTGCATGTAAACACAGCTATGCTGATAGTTCTCATGGAAATAAATTCTGTGCATATTTCTAAGAAAAAAAAAAATGGGGTCGCATTCAGCTCTTTTGGTGGTCTGAGATTAGTGCAAGCAACCAAGAAAAGATCTTGCCAAACCTGAAATCATGACGTGTGAATTAATATGCAGGTCTATGAATCATAGTAATCATACTTCAGTATTGTTTGAAATATTGCTGAATGTTTTCATTTGGCTTTAGATCAGAGTTTATCTCCCTCAGCTAGTTTTAACAAATCACATTCTTCCATATTTGACTTAGATATAACTACTTCTAATCCTCAATGTGATGTTGGTCACCAATTAAATTCTTGCAACTGATTTGTGTTGCGTTTTTTTCTACCCATCTCTATTTTGTCTAAAGGTAAAATACAAACCCTGCAAAAGTCCATTAAAGCAAATTAAGTGGAAGAGGAAAACAAAACTTTCTTTTGGTATTTAATTTTCCTTCCCCTAATGTAACTCTACAGCATGATGCTGCCATTACCATGTGCCATAAGGATATAGGCCTATAGAACTTGTTCCTCCTGACAGTACCTTAACTCTTAGAATGGTTCATCTTAGCTTCATTTGACCAGTGCACATATTTCCTACATAACTCTAATCTTCCGAAAAATATTAGGTCTTCACCTAATGGCTCTATTTATGCTGGGATTAAGCTGCAAACAGCGAATATGTTTACTAATCTGTTGGCTCCTAATGGGTTTCATAATAAAAAGATTGAAAACAATCACATATATTTTTACCCATTTAGTTCAGAATTGTCATTTTGACTTTATCTCAAGAAAAATGCAAAGAAACATCTGTAAAGAATTTAAATTGGTGCAAACGATTTAGCATGGGATTCTATTATTTATGATCCCCTCTAATTCAAAGCTTGAGACTTCATGTCTACATTGGTTTACCACTTGGTGGTGCTACAGCTCTACCAGCTACCTCTGCATGGGCAACACAATGTGATGCATTTGAAGGAGATACTGTCAAGTTTAACAGTTATTCTTTTGTTCTGTTACTGATCTGATGTTTAGGACAAGATTGCATTAGTTAAAAGATGAGGTGTAGAGTGTTTGACTTTTTAAGAATTCCTGAAACATTAGTTATGGTTTTGTAAAGTGTTTGTCAAATAAAACTGAAGTTATTGCATACTTGTCTTGGATAACAAAGAACCTGATTTACAACACTCATAAACATGCATATAAAGAATGTTGGTCTTTCTGGCAACACTTCTATGGTTCCAAAGCCATTATAAAAGAAAACTCAGGACATTATTCATGAGCATTTTTTTATTCCACAAGAATGAAAAAAAAAGTGCAAATACATTTTTTGCAATGCTCCATTTATTTTTGTGAACTGAACAAATTACACTTCAAGATGAAAATGTGCAATAGAATGTATATATTTACAAATTTCAAATGTCATGCATGACTGGGCAAAAGCAATAGGTGTCTGAATGCTGAATTAATCAAAAACATGACTTATGACAGCACGATGAACAATAAATAAAAAAACATAAATTCCACAAATGATCAATTGTCACAGTGCATGAAAAAGCAGCAGATTTCCCCAATCATTTTAGGTAGCTTTAAAATCAGTGAAAGGGTAAAGTGAAATACTGTGCATTTAATACAATGGCCATACTATGTGTTACACTACATTTCCTCTACAGTGGTAATTCACCAAGATGGCATCAAAACAAATTTCACTACATTACCAGGGACATAAAAAAACTTTGTTTATTAGTTGGGATTTACTCTGCATCAGTAAAAAAAAATGCACTAGTGTGTTACTCTAATTTGTATACCTGCCTAATTGTAGCAAGTCATCAGTCGGTTAGATGGCAACAAACACACAAATATGCAAACATGTCACCAAATAGAAATTCAGAGCAGCCTGTTAGGCTAACATACCATAGATTTTTCTGATGGTATGAGGATACCAGGCAGACGACCTTAAGGGAACCCCATTAATTCATTAAGAGAACATGCAAACTTCACAGAGATGCCTACAGCCAGTATTTAAACCCAGGGCCTTTTTGCTGCAAGAGAAAAGATTAAAATTTTCTGCAACGTTTTCTAATACAATAATTATTCACTGCCTGTAGAGGCTGTATGACTAAATACTAATGATCTATTTCTGTACACCAACTTTTTCAGTTTTTCATTCAGGATTTTTTTCAGTTTTTTTTTTTTCAAAATTATATGCAGAAAGTGGTTCAAATTATTTATTAAAACATTTTTTTAATCATGCTAGTTTGTCAAACACTGTTCTTATGTTCAATCAGTAAAAAAAAAGGGCCTCATACCTTATACAGGTGTAAAAACTCTTAAACTGAAAAGTTTAAAAGGTTTACTCACCTATGTTTGAAGCAACTTATATATTTTATCAACAAAACCTAACAATCACCTAAGGATAAACTAAGGAGAAAATTTCTTCAGTGTATTATTTTAATATTAGGAAATAGTTATCTAAAAAATTATGACCCCAGGGTATTAACACCCTTAACAATTCCTGGGAAGCTGTTACATACGTTCTCCTGTAAATTGTATTTTATTGTTCCAAGTTGAAAAGAGTAATCTGAAATAAGGATTTTATCATAATTAAAATCCATATCTTCCTGTTTTCATGGGATAGGGATATAACACAGAGGCCAATTTCTACCCATAGAAACTATTCAGAATGGGAAAATCAGGAAAACAAACCCAATTCAGAAAGGTAGAAGTGGGTTGACTTTTGTAAGTCAGGGAAAGACTAGAAGGTATTAATTAATCAACCACATTTGACAACATCTACAGTCAGATCAGGAACTAACAAGTTTTAAACAACTGGAACTGACAAGCAAGGCTGGAAAAGGACCAGAGATTAACAGCAGTACCAAAACATTTGTACATTATTTTCATTAGACAGTTGACTTTTCAACAAGAGTCAAAGAATGAAATGTGGAGATCAACTTGTTTTATGTTGAAATGGTTTCAGTATAGTTTATTTTTTGAAAGCAGGTATTGGACATATTAGATTGACTTATATATCTTTGATTTAACTATAAATAGTTAACTAACTATGCCCTGAAAAAAAAAAAAAACAGAGCTTGTTACCAATGACACCCAGGTAAATTATTCCCAATGATAAAAATAATTTGAATCATTAATTCCTATGTTTTAGCATTGAAATTGTTTAATCCTGAAAAACATCACATTTTGTCCCTAAAGTAAATAATTAATGGTAATTAACTGTTGTTATCACAGTTTTTTTTAAATATTTGAAGCTTTGAAATGGTAAAAAATTTTTTACAAGCACAAAAGATGAAATTGATGGATGTTCAATGAGTAAACTTTGTGAGATGAACAAAAAGGTGATTACATTGAATGGTATGCAATTTCTAAGGTAGGTACCATTTTAAAATACAAATTCAGTAAACATTTAAGTTCATGATCAAACCTTAGAAGTAGATCTAATGAAGTAATATCTCTGTAAACAGCGTAATTTATTCTGACCCTGAAGAAATGTAAGATTAACACTCGCTCCAAAATATTACTACAGCCCATACTGATACTAGTATATGGCCAAAAGCACAAGTTAAGCTTTTCACTCTTAACCACAGGACGTAATCAGACGAGGTTAATTTAATAGAAAAACCCTTTATACACGGAATGAGTCTGCAGTCCATTAAAGCTAAGATCAATGTGGATTGTATGTACAGTACTTGGCATCCAAGGTGGTCTCATTCATGTGCTAACCAAGCGTGACCCTATTAGCCTCTGTGGTCAGAAGAGAACAGGCTTGCAAAAAGCAGTTATGCCATAAGCTATGGTATATAACCAAATCTGACTGAATTTAGATGGTTGAATTAATTTTACCTTTCTCTTCAGGTTTCATGAAGTGATATTATTTGTCATTTGGTGCAACATAAACACACAGAATCTGACATAGCCTACAGCAGATTATATGAACTAAAGCAGAATTGAGCTTTGATTTTGGGTTAAGACATTTTAAACTCTTAAGGCGAAAGTCACTGATCCCTGATGATGGCTAGATTATGAGGTAAAATGCTTCAATTGACCCTTAACTGATATTATGCATAATTTACTTACTGTGTGTGTGTTCAGGAAATGGCTGGTTGTGAGGAGACCAATGGTATACAGCCATGCAAGTTAAGTCTCCACGCTGCTTTTTTAAGTGCACCTTTGATATGGTTAGAAGCATAACTAAACAAATGTATTGGGCTTTGCTGTATGGCACAACTTCCTTTTGCAGTGTTAAAGGATGTTGAAACACATTTAGAATATCATTTGACTTTGAATACAAACTGTACATTCATGATCCCTTTAAATTCAGAGATTAGTTAAACCATTTATTTGGATAAGATAGTCTCTCCTTCTGTAGTTCTTCATCCTTCCAGCTAAGGAGTCCTCTGGCTTGTGGTAAGGCGTCCATTTTGCCATTAAGTACAGCTCCTTTATTTACGGGTTGCGAGCTATGGAGTTATCAAGCGGTAGAGACAAAGCACAGTGTGTCGTTGTCTTCATGGCTCCTTTGCCAAATCTGCAGCTCAGCAGAGAACAAAGGTGACGAAACACAGACTTACGGCAAATAATAAAAACCCAGGGATCCATGATTGCATTTAAAGAGTAAAAGCGGAAAGCAAACAGGTTTTTTTCGTCTCCTTCAGGGAATGGATCGATGGCGTTAATAAATCCAGCAATCTGAGGAGAAAAGAAGGTCATAATTATTGCCAGTTTACCACATTATCTAGCTACAACAAAAAGTTCTCACAGACTTCCACTGCGGTCAAACTGCTCTTAACAGGTGTTTTTTTTTTAACACAACAATTTTAGCTGCTGTCATACTTCTTATCTCAAAGGTTCCCAAACGTTTTATCATCTAAGCATTAAAATAACAGTAAATGAGACTCATGACTGAATAGATTGGTTAAATAAATAATTGTAAGTGGTAGATTTTAAAATATAGACTTAAACTCTATCTATCTATCTATCTATCTATCTATCTATCTATCTATCCATCCATCCATCCATCCATCCATCCATCCATCCATCCATCCATCCATCCATCCATCCATCCATCCATCCATCCATCCATCCATCCATCCATATGTATAATGTATAATCATTTTTATTATGTCCTGCAACATGGTTTACAGTTGTGCAGAGCTCTACCCAAAATTAGATATTATGTGTTGTAAATAAGTTTTCCTTTTTTTGGCTTAGTGCTCTTTGAAATTAAAATTGCAATGAGCATATGCAAAATATGTAAAAATATGATAATAGACATATATGTCCTGTTTATGCTAACTCTTGAGCAGAGATGAACAGGCCAGCTATGAGTTATGCTTTTCCCAAAACTGACCTCTAAAAGAAACAACAAGAGTCTTATAGTTCAAAGAGTGTAATTGTTAAGTTAAAACTAAAGGACATCTCCTTTTGAATTTGTCACAAGTGGTTTGCTGGACACAACAAGCATCATGTAAAGAGAACTGGTCAGAGGAGACCAACAATGTACCTTTTGACCTACATGAAACTATGTGCTGCAGAAAAGTAACACTCTAAAAACAAAACCCACAGTGAAACACAATGCTCCTGCTGTGGAAATGATTTTCTTCATCTTGAATTGTTAAACTGCACAGAGTTAATTGGCGGATGGATTGCATTTAATACAGAACATTACTGGGAGATAAAGAAAACTATTAAATCAGGCAGGCTGGATACAAATGCATGCCAAACTTTCCAGATTTTATTGATCAGAGCCGACCTTCAACAATGAAAAAATAATACCACACTGTTGCAAGATATCATGACTGCTTGTTTAAGATGTGTGAGACCTCAGGTTGTGGTTAACCTAATTCACATGCAGAACAACACTATTGCATAACAAAATGCACATTGTAAGAAAACATTTTCCCGACCAGAAAATGCCCTGAAGGCAGACTAACATGATTTCATTCCATTGTGTCTTTTTGTATTAATAATGAAGTTTGACAGTCTGCAAACAGCTAGCCCAGATAGCAGAGGCTGGGTGTTGAATCCTGGTGGGCAGACAGAGAAGCAGCAGCTGGCTCAGGATGCTTGTCACCTTGCTCCTCTTCTCTATCAACAATTCTCCATTTTCTCCATGAAATATCCAACAAACAGTAGGCTAATGAATGGCCTGTGCTGATTGAAAGCCCTTGTGCCTTGGTGTAAATGTTTTGTTGTTGCTAGGGCCTGGACTGAAATCTAATAAGCTGAAGACAATGTGTAAGAGGCCACAGGGAGAGAGTCCAGACTGAGAACAAATGAAACTACCGGAGGGACAAGACACAGACCTGACAGTGTCCATTACCTCAAATACAGTAAGTCTCAAACAGAGAAAACAGTTTGCATTGACCCACAGAGACAGCTGCAGGAGATCAGCCTCCATTTAAGCTACATGGATCATAGTGATATTTAAAAGGATGTCAAACAAGTCTTGACATCATCATATAGGAAGATGCAAAAATGTAGCTGCCTTTTTGAGTGCATGGTGGCTCACAGAGTGGATGGGATGAAGAATAACTTCAGAAAAAATAGGACCTAGTTAGGGATGGAATGGTTTATGAAAAACGTCCGAACCGCTCGGTTCGACTGTTTCGGTTCGGTTCGCATGTGTTGGGTTCGGTTCATGCGCGGCTCCTTATTCTCATAGGAGAAGCGTGTACACTCCAGAGCAGAAGGTGGCGGTACTGCGACCAAAGCCAAACACCAGTAGTAAACAAGAAGAAGAAGAAGCGAAGCAGCGTAGCCGGGTGTAGCAGAAAAAAATTAGTTGTTGTGGAGAATTGTGTGGGTATGGCGAGTGGGAAAGAACAGGAGTTGGAAGACGCGCCAGCAGCACTTTATAGGTCTGCTGTATGGGACCACTTTGCATTCAGAGACACCTACGATGACGGCGGAAAGAAAGTTGTGAATAAAAGTGACACAGTGTGCAAGCATTGTGCAACACGTTTTGTTTATGCTAACAACAACATGACCAACATGTCATGCTAACCCCGAAATCCCACATACTCCGTCAGCGCTCCGCCCCGCTGTGCTCCAGACCGCCTGCGCAAAGCAAAGCCTACAGCCTCCACTGAGGCTGCCGTCCGCTCCGCTCTGAGTTCCTTGGAGATCGTAGAGGGCATGCGCGAGATGATTAAATTCAAAGCAGCAAAACATACGGAAATGATCCAGGGTTTCCGCGGATCATTTAAAATAATTACAATTCATAATTTTTTTTTTAGATTTTTTCATTAATTTCATTAATTTTTATTATTTTTTGGTGTAGCAATAAACATATACCGAACCGAACACCGTGAATTTTGTTAACCGTTCCACCCCTAGACCTAGTTCAGTTTAGATTGAAATCATGTTAATACAGAACTGCATATGGATTCAAAGCTTTTTTTAGTTCAACCTTTGGCACAATCTCACATAAAAGATGAGAATATTCACTGCATATAGTAAAACAAAAACAATGTACAAATGTTGTTAACACAAAAGTGTGACTGTGGAATTTTTTTAAATTGCAAAAACAACATTGCATCAGTGAGATTACCTAACACACTTGAGAGATGAAGTATGCATGTCAAGCTTTGCACAACATAACATGCTTCCATTTTTAATTCATGATTTCAAAGAAAAACTTTAAAAAAACAAGCCAAGTTAGCCGGTTATAGCTGAAGATGTTTTTTTCACTCAGTTCCTGTATTTACTGTTATAATTAGCTTCTAGAAATAAATATTAAGCAAGTCATATTTTTGCTGCTTCATAGTTTACAGAATATATTTTGGTGGCCAAAATCCCCAACAACTGAAAAAATAAATAAATAAATAAAAAGGTTCAACAAATAAGTGGTATTTATACTTTGTAATGCTTCAAATAGAAATGTTAATGTACAGACGTTTATAATTTCTTGGTTGAAAAAAACAGATACATGGTTTTCTAATTCATATGATATAAACTTATCCATTACTTTGCATTTAGCATCCTTTCCTTTGACATTTCTCAGTAAAATTCATTATTGTTTAAAAACTACAACAGAGAAACCATTACCCGCAGATCCAAGATTAGTTTAAAATCTTTCTAAAGCTTTGAAAACCATGCAGAAGTTCAAAAAGCACAACTGCAAGCTTAACATTACTTTAAATCAATGAAATTATAAAATGTTTAAAATTAAACAAATAGATCTTTGAATAAATAATATATAAATAGCTAATGATACAATGAAATTGTGAAATAACTGAATGCAAGTTAAATTCTCAGCTTACTATCATGAGCTAAGATTTGTAGTTGTGCAAATACTGTGAAAACACTTAAGGGCAAGAAATACATATTGTTTGCATTTATATACAACATTCAGTAGACACTTTATGCCTGGAGTTATGAAAAAAATATCTCCTTGAAATAATTAAATCTTGCCTCCCATTTTTTTAATCTAAAACTGAATTTTAAATCATAGTGCGTTTGAAGAAACTAAGAAGGAAAGTACTCAAAATTTGTTTTATTTTTGCTCTGTTGTAAATTTAAGATAAAATTAATAATAGGATATCCAACAGGAAAATCAGTTTACCAGTAGTTCAGTGGTGATCTAATGCTAAGTAATATTTTTGACACTTTTAAAATCACCTCAAGGATAAAGCATTAAAAGGATTATGAAACAAACATGCTTTCCACAACAGTAAAGTCGCAGATGAATTACTAGAGCTAATGGTGTAACTAACCAGCTAATTTCAATGATACCTTCTTGGTTTCAACAAACCTTGAAAGGTGAAAGTGCAGCTAAAATTTATAATGTTTGCTAAGCACAATCTTTTTACATGATTTGCTTTGACTGCTGCCATCAAATTCTACGGGCTCCCTTTTAGGGGTGACTGAGAATAATACAGAAACAAAGCAAAAAAAACATTCCTGCCCTTTGCTAGAAAATGGAGAAGGGGAGTAAAGTTTCACTGAATAGATTGAGCAACAAAGCAGCTTTTATAAGTTCTCCTTTTGAACAAAAGCATGGTGCAAATACTTGATTAAAAGAAAGCCAAAAAGACTTAGCCACATTAAATCTGATATTAAAAATCTAAGATGTCCTCGGGGACAAAAGTGAGTAATCCCTTAACAGCTTTGGCTTTTGATCAAGAACCTGCTCTTGTTCAACGATTAGTAATTTCCACACAAAGTTATCATCCCACCTAATTCATCACATGGCATTGCCAAAAACATTTCAAACACACACGCAGGCTCAAGCGCTCTGCCCTCATCCTCGTCGTTACTGCCTCACTTTCTTTTTACCACCCTCAGTCTTGCTTCTGTTCCTACATGCCACCCTGCCTCTTATGGTGCTCTCGGCAGACTTTAGGTCCCATGGAAAGGGAAAATAAATCACAGGCTGCTCTCTTGCCAAGCACTCTAGGCTGTGGGGCCAAGACTTATGACATGTCAAGATCTCCTTAAACGGGAGCATAATAATGTATCACTGAGTGGTTAAAGAGCAGAACAGAAACAGAGCGCAACAGAAAAGAAAGCAGGGTCATGGAGGTGTCCTTTAAATGTCCATATTATAAATTGCTTATGGATATATTAGACCTGCAAAGGCAATTAAGTTTACATGCATACTATGTAAATAATTTAAACAGACAGTTGCAAACTATGTGCAAGCGTATTCCGCTTTTTCATATGAAAACCTCAGAGTTAAAGATGAC